CTGAAGATATCATACTATTTATTATTTTAATGACAATTTGATGGTTTCCTGCAGAACTGGATACAAAAGATGTTTTGAATTGAGCTTGAAATGGTATTTCAGGTTTCCAAAAGGCAATTGCTATGGTGTATCACTGCAGCCTGATAAATGGGAGTGCGTTTTAGAATGACAGGCTGAATACTTTAATGAAAGAAGGTTTCCCATTTTGGTTGGCCGATTAAATCACTGTTGATGACTTTGGATCATTAATGAACATTTGTGGAAAATGACCATTTGAATTCAATTATTACAATAATATGTTTGAAAAGTACTAACCACAAATAATTCTATCTGTAAATTAAAAGATTTATCCATTTCACCACAGATAAGTCAGCATACCGCTTTGTTTATTAATGCCAAAGCAAGTCAACTTTGCAGGATTCTTTTAAGGATTAAGTACACATCATTTCTTATAAAAGTTCTACTTAGAAAAGGTTTTGTTTTTCATTGAGTGCTTTTTAAGGTATAATTTATGCTGTTAGCCATTATATTACTTCATTATTCTCAGAAAAAAAATAGCAAGACCTAGAACAAAGAAAGGGAACATGCAGTGTATAAAAGTAGAAGATTAAGTTTAAGATGGATTAGATATTTGATTTATTTACTGCCTAAAAGAATCTCTAATTCTAGGGGGAAAAATAGGAAATAGAGTAACCATTATTTGAAAACATGCAAATTTATTTAAAAGTAATATGAAAAGAAAATGCAAATGGTAAACTTCATAACCAGATTGTTTTCTTAAACCCAAGGTTCAGGTTGTCTAAATTTTTTAAAACTTTTGTTCTCTTTGAAATATTTTATGGATATGTATCCTGTCATTATTGCTATAGTATACCCAACAAATTAACATGGATATGATATTTTTCTCAAGTTAACTTTATTTTCTCTGAAACTTTGACTGTTTTGGTAGCTGAGACAGGAGGTGAGGTCTTTTGAAATGCACGTTTTTCTCATTTTGTTATTTGTAAAATGGGCCATAATCTGAGTCCAAGCTTTTCTTCATCTCCATTTCATAGTTTACAGAAAAAGGAGTCACTGTGGAGCATAGGCTTCCCCTGGGAATACATTGGACTTAATGAGCTTGATAGTCTGGTGGGCTCAATAAATCAAATAAAGCAAAACATTTCTCATTTTTGAATAAAAGCATTTATCACACAGTGTTTGTTCATTCATGGTCACAAGATTGATTGGTTCCCAGCATCACAGTGTATACTGAAGCACTTTTGATTTTGTTTTTCCAGTGGGCAAGTTACGGAAGCAATGGCTAAAGGAAAGTATCTCTGATGTCGGCTTTGGGATGCTGAAATCTGTCAAGGAATATGTGGACCCCAATAACATCTTTGGAAACAGAAACCTTTTATAAATACATTACTATTGTTATGAAGAAATGTTACTTTTTAAAAAAAAAAAAAGTCTTCGACTTTGTTATATCAGTAATCATTTATATCATGACTGTATTTTGGCTATATTTGTTAGTTGATTTAACATGTTTGTTTCATTCTGTAGTTTGTTTTGTTTATACATTTATCAGTTAACAGATGGTATTCCTAAATCTCTCTCATTGTAGGTATATCGGTTTACAGCCAACTGGTTGTCATTTCAAATTTTAGTCAGGCTGCACAAGGCTGCCAGTTGTTATTTCAGAGGAAGATGCTGCCAGCTGTTTTGTATTGATACTTCCTCTTGGGAACAAAGGCAGATTTTGGTGTCATCTATTGCTTATCAAGTCTCTTTTTAAAAGAATGTTTCTGGGAAGCAGATATCTAGAGGAGGATTTCACTGAAGAGTGATAGACATGTATGTTTTTTTAAGATTGCATTCTAGTGTGAGTAGGCTGTTAAGAGGATTACTCATGAAACAGTGTAGGCAGCCTGTTATTTAGGATGCTTTCAGTCATGTAAGGTGCTTGGCCTACCTTTTCTTTTGAAATTAATACACAGTTATAAAAAAAACCTCAAATCATCAGTATACAAATTATTCTGTTACGGGACACATTTTTGTTCTCCATGTTTCAGTTTCTATTCAAGTATGAGTTGTATTTGTATCACCGAGATAACCTATTGTTGCCATACTATGTTTTATAAGAAAAGCTGACTTATCACTCATTGTATGGGAAGAACAGGTTTACCAGGAAATGAATGCCTTTATTCACACACACAATTCTAATGTTTCTGCTTTCCCATTCTTGTTGCTGAGCGGCAGAAGAAGCTGCAACAGGAGAGAAGAAGGAAGGCTCCTTACACTTAATGTCTCCAGTTCAAAGAATTGTTTGGCTAAAAGAACAGTTTCAATGATAATTTTTTTTTAAATTAACCCAAACAATATGATAAATTTTTATATAAAAGTAAAGTTTCAATTTAGTTTTTAATAATGGTTTAATGCCTTTTTTGAATTACTGGTTTAACCTAAATTTTAAAAAACTGTAATGTATTACTACACGTAGCATAATCAGAAGTTTGAGATATCATATTTCTTAAATTGTAGGGAGAATATTAATTACATTTAGCAAACATTTTTACATTGAAACCTGGATATTAAAATAAGTGAAACAATTACTTTGAATCACTGTCTGTCAAGGTTCATGATTCACATTTGAGATGGATTCTTTTCCTAATGTAATGCCTAACTTTTGATAATTTTTTAAAATTAATATTTGTTCAAATAATGTAAGTCAAAATGCAGATGATCCTGTAAAAGGACACACTATCTATGTAGCAACAGCTCCAAAGTATTTTTGGGCAGTTTGATATGTTTCGTATCTGAAGTAGCCTTAACCAGAAAAGTAAAAATTTTAAATCGACAAAATGATATTTTTAAAACTTCAAAATGATAATTTTAACTAATAAAATTGGCCTCAAACTAATAAACTTAAATCTGTAAGCAAATCAAAATTAAGTATGTTTAACAACAAAAACTAAGTATTGATTTATTCATTGGTGTTTCATTTTTAATTATAAAATTTCTAGCAGACCTTTGCTTAAAGCCTTTGATATTTGACATAATTGGATGCCTGATGAAGAAATTACACTTGCCTCTAGAATTATAAAAATCTCAGCTTCATAAAATGTATCTATCCATGAAGATAATTTCTCTAATTGGTGATCAAAATGTAAAATTTAATATGGTACTAACACCTCACTGGAGTGTATACATGTTTCTGAGTAATTTTTAAAAAATAAAACTTACAGATTCATAAGCAGATTTATTTTTTTGCATGTGATTGTTATAACATTCTTTCCCAGGGAGTTCAGATTTCAACAGCTTCCGAAATTAATATTTGATATTAGGAAACTATAAATGTAACACCTGAAATTGTTGTGTTCACTCTTCTACATGAACCTTGTGGAAATTAGTGTTTTGTGTCTTTATTTTTCTTCTCCCACGTATGCAGGACTCCCCAATCTTGATTTTATAGTGATGAATACATTTCGTATTTAGAATCATTTCTACAGGGATCATTTTAAACACATGAACACTCATCAGTGCTATTTCGCTCTGAAAGCCTTTCCCCCGCTTTCACCACCTGCTTCTGAGAGGTACCTAGGCATATTCTTAGTGTCTGTGAGCTGAGTTCTTGAATATGCACAGAAGCACTTAACCTTGCCTCGTATTTCTGAAATAGCTGAAAATGGCCTCATAAAAGTAAAAGCTTGGAGAACATTGTTTATGTGAGACTTCTTAACAATTTCAAATACGTTTATTTAAAATTTTAAAATGTGGTAGCCTATTTGGTTTTCAGTACTGCATAACACTGACTCGTCTTTCTTAAAGTAGTCATATTTCTAATATTTTATTTGATACCACATTTGGGTTGGGGTTTTAGTGAGAATGGGAACTTGCTGCTAGTGAGAAATGGCATTGATTACTAAAAACTCAGTATAAACAGGCTTTATAGACCCTTAGAGTAACTGTTGCCTTAATGTTTGGTGCAATTTACAGTGCATAAATGAATTTAGTCTTATGCTGAGTAACTTCAGCTTTTTTAGTAAAAATTGTAAAAGCCACATGTTTACTGTACCCATTATTTTACTACAAAGAGGATTAAATTCTTTCCTCTTCTGAGAAGTTGAGAGTTTTCTTCCTAAATGCTTACATATTATAGTACTGTTACTTAAAAGTTATTTGCGATGCTGGAAGCCTTCTAGTATGCATAGTTGTGTTGATGTTTTTTGGAAAACTAAAGTGCAGTAAAGGATGAGCTTCCATCAGTGTGTGTGTACTGTACCAGATACAGATGGTCACAAGGAAACCTCTTTTTCAGAATATTCTCTTAGTAACTACTAACTTCTAGCTTGCAGTTTTGAAAATGTCTTCCTGAATCTTAGCTCCAGAGATTTTCCTTTGTTATATTCTTTTACAACTACGGCTTCTTAACTATAGTGATCAGAGAAGCCCTAAAATCCCAAGCTGAAGCATATGACCTCTGGGCTTGGTTTGTTGAGCATCCATTCTATATAAATATAGACTACAAATGGTTATTTATTATGGATTGATTGATTCACAAACTGCATGTGCTGGTGCTTGAGGCAGCCAAAATAGAATGCTGTGGAAAGCATATCTACATTTTAAGAAACACTAATACAAGAGTTAAAGACAGCTTTAATAGCTTTTTGTTTACCACTTACTGTTTAGCAACTTTGATTTTAATTAGAGTTTAGCCTATAGTGAGAGAAAAGCTGAAGATAACAAATGCCAGTTTAGGATTGAAAATCCAGAACTGCTTTTGGCTTTATAAGTTGTGGAGACTTGGCTTTGCTCAAGGCTTTCTGTTCCCAGATGAGCCACATGTCAATATATTCATTTAATTCTTATTAATTTCAGTTTCCTAAAAGGGAAACAACATATTTTGATGCTAAAATCCAGAAAGTATAAAAGATTTTTTTTTACTATGGAAATGTGTCTGATATGAAGGATGTAAGCTACTCAGCTTTCTGCTCCTTAAGCCAAACAGTGTCTCAAACAGTGTCTTCAGTGTAAAATTTATCTGTATAACTACTTGTAAAGTCAGCAGGTTATAGAAACTTATATTATTAATAAAATGGACCTGAGTCTAAGAGTTTTTTTTCTTCAAGGGGAATATGAAGCTGTTCGTTTTTCTGTTTGCATATGAGTTTCTCTTTCAATTTTAGTTTTTCATCTTCATATTTTCACTGATTTGCAAACAAAACTTTTATAATTTTATTATTGAAGCATAATCAAGTATAACCTAAATATAACTAAATCTCTTTGGATTTATAGCTGAGTATATTATTAACTGGGTTTTATCACTCGAATTATTTTTTAAATCAAGATTATATCCATAGGAGGTGTTTGGTCTCCTGTGAACCTAAAGCAGTCCCATTTGAACCTTGGAAGGTCCTCAAAGAAAGAGCTCTCTTGTGGTCTTCTAACCACAACAAATCCTTAACAAACGTGCATAAGGACCACTGATATATATCATAGTCACTCATGCCAAAGAACCATCGCAGAATTAAGTAACTTTAGTTCTGTGACCATGACAGTCTCCTTTTTTGGTTCTCATAGGAGATTATTTTCTACTTTTTTTTTTCCCACAAAGAAAAAAAAGAATACATTAAGTATCATTAAGAACATTTTTTAAAGACAACTTTCAAATCTGAGAGAAGGAAAAAAAATGTTTTAGTGTGGATTTCTAAGCAGCATATATTTGTTTTTAAGGCATCTTATTGTTGGCAGTGTTTTTTATGAACAACATGAGAATCCTATAAAACATGTTGTTTAACCCTTAAAGAAATCTTGTTCACATATCTGAAAAGACATGAAATCCTTGTACTGGTGATATACAGTTTCTATGAATAATTATCTTTTGAGCTACTTAAAGAATATCCCCAAAAGATCACAGTGCCTTGTTGGGATTTTTTTTTTTTTTTTCATGAAATAGCCATTATTTAAAATGAGTAGGAGAGGATATAGTCTTTACAGACAGTTTGTTTAGTTCGACAGTTCAAGGCTATTCCTCTTCAACAACATGTCAGGAATTAAGTAGCTGTATGTAGAAACACTGGAAATCCTTTCTACAGTGTTGGTTTGGATCACCAGTTCTAACATATTTAACTTCTACTCCCATATACATCTGTCTATTCAGCCAGTGGGATTTATGTGTACTTTCATACTTTTTCATTCCTACTGTTCCATCTTAGTAGCCCTAAGGTGTGGATCAGTGGGTGTGTCATCCTAATTCCTTGAGACACCCACTATGTGCTTTTGGATGTTTGCTCACACAGCTCCCTGAGGAGCAGAGCCTGTGTGGGGGGTTTCTATTCCTTATGTGGTGTGTTAGTCCTTTTTGTGTGATGGTGCCTTCAGAATAATGAATATTTCTGTTCCTGGACAATGATAAATCTTATGAGAAATATGTGTAGGTTATATTTCTTAATTTTTGTCCTTTTTTGCTAAGCCTGTGAAATTTTTTGGCTCTGATACAACTTGACTTGAATAATATCCCGAGTCTTCCTCCAAGGCAGTGCATATTCCTGCCAGTACTGTAGTAATCTTTTGAGAACTACATGTGGGTAGGCACTTGTATGTAAGCCATTATACTGCTGTAACTAATGCATACAAACAATTCTTCTCTTTACATTTATAGTAGAAAAGTGGATATGTAGTAGGAAGGAAAATTCCTGAGAGATTCCAGGATAGCTTTGTCAATTCAGACTGAGCCATACTGTTTTCCAAAAGGGCTCAACACGTTGTCTATATATTGTGCTTTCAGTGTATGTTTGGATTCTCCTGTTATTGCTTTTCCTAGACTATACTGTTCTATAAGCAAATGCCGATGTGTGGTTTTTATGATGTGCTGGGGAAAAAATAAAACAATACCAAAACCATTGTTACAGGAATTTTTGCTTATTTCGTGTTGATTCCATTTAACCTTTGTTGACAGCATCATGCTAACTCAGAGAATGAATAGGATACGGTCTCTACCCATGAATAGCCTCTCTAGTAGTGAAAGACATATGCATAGGTTCTAATTTTGTCCCTGCCTATGGCTCCCACACTGGAGGGAAGGTTGTAGCTCTCTAGGCTCTGGAATGACAGAGTCAGACCTGTTGAACTCAGTTTTACTTGATACATTTCAATAATCACTTGCCACACTAAGATTTTAACTCATTATTCAGTTAAGGCAATTTTCCAGCTGGCTTGTATAAGCTCAGACTGAATGAACCTTAGAAATCATCTTATTCTTTTCCCAAACATAAGATTGCTACTAACTAACCTCCCCCAGCCCCCATGTCATAAACAGATAACCAGTCTTGAACATTTTTTTGTGACCAGATAGGAATTGATTGTCTTTCCAGGACCTTTTTCAAGTTCTGAAATTTTCAAGTATTAGGTTTGTGCTTGTGTCTCCCTTTTCTATCTATTAATGTAACTTCGGTCTTCTGTAGTCATGAAGACTTGTCTGGTTGCTCTACTGGAGGGCAGCTCTTCAGGTATTTAAAGACAGCTCATGTTCCCTCAGATCTTCACCTGTCAGCTTTTGCTCCTGTGAGTTCTAGATCCTTCACCAACCTAATCTCTTTCTTAAAGTTCAGGTGTCAGCCTGAATATTCCAGAGCAGTACTAATGATTTCCTTGTTCTACTCACTACTAAATGCACTTTTGGTAGACGTTGCACTGTCACTTTACATTGAACTTGAATTTAACAAGTCTTACTTTTTCTGCATGTACCATTTTGTCCACATCTCCCTGGAGGCCGGTTTTTTAAAGCCTCATTACTTATACTTATCCTCACTAAAATTTATGCCTTACTGGATATAATTCCAGCTTTTGAAAGTATTAGAATCTTTACTCTTATCCAGAACATTTTTTGTCCCATCCAGCTTACGGTCATCAGTAGAACTGAGACATGTACTATCTGCCTGGATTCTCATATAAGTAAAGGCAGATGTGAGTAGTACACAAGAGCTTGCCTGATAACACATCCATGAAAAATCAGAGTTCAGACAGCTACACTTCCACTTGACATGCTGTTGTCTGCCCCATATTTTTACATTTTGCCCACAATAGGCCCTTTTCCAATGAATCAACATTTATGCCAGACAAACATTAAACATGCAATTATGTTTACTTAGTTTAACATTGTCAGATGCCAGATTTCCTTTGCTACTCTCAGAAAAACAAATGAGGTCTCACTGCCATCATATTTCCTTTTGCCTGTGTTCACCTCGGCATTTCTCTTTTCAGTATACTTATAAGCCCATCTTCTGCCACATTTGCCAATGTGATCTGTTGGTGGGGCCTAGTATTGGCTGATGGACAGTCTCTGAAATCTGTTCTTGCATAGTTCATCACATCCTTTGTACCTCATCTGTGCCCACATTAGAGCTGAGAAAATACTTTTTTTAAAATGACTGAAATTTGTCAGTTAAGCTATAAAATAAGAGAAGATGGAGTTCTAAAGTCAGAACACCGGAAAGAGTTATATTCTGGAAATTTTGTGTGTGCTCCACTTTCCTACCAACTAAAGTCACTTTACCTATTTGAACCTAACCTTTTGTCACATGAAAATCTCTGAGGTCCCTTCTAACTTGGTCTCAGTAATTCTGATTGAGTGTATGTATTTTTGCTGAACATTACCCTAGAATTGATCATTGCATTAATGATTTACATTCACCCTTTATTAGCCAGACACTTTGCTGGGCACTTAACCCTAGACAAGAAGTGATGATCGTTTTCACAATAACTGTAAAATGAGTGTATCATCCCCTTTTTACAGGTAACAACTGAGGTTTAGCAAGGTTGAGTAAAACTCCCTGTTGGGACCTGGGTGGTGGCATTGCTGAGATATGGAGCCAGATCTGACTAAATCCAGTGCCTCTGTGGTGGCTGCTTCACTGCTCTAGGCTGCTTATGCTCTGTAGTTGGTCTGATGTATACAGAATTTCTGCTTTTTAGATTATTAGTCACTGCCCTCTAGAGAAGGATACAAGTAAGGAAATTGAATCTCCTAACTACGGAGTGGAAGCTGCAGTTTTTATGACTACATGCCACAGAAATACCAGGAAGCCTTTTGTCTCAATTGCTGTCTTTCTCTGTAAATGTTTAATCCATTGATACATTTATAGGTTTAATATGAAACTCATAAAAGGAAATGTTGAATTTGATAGACTTAATAAATTTGCATTTTTATAACTTTAATATTGTATCCTTTTGAGCTGCACTTAAAAATGTAGGAATAACCTACTATAAGTTATACATCTTTCTATAGAGAGACTGGAAATTGAAAGGACTGTTTAAGATTAAAAAGATGGTTTAATATAACGTAAAGCCAATCTAGATTCTTTGGAAAGTTACAGTTTCTTGAAACTGCTAACTTAAGAATTAAGGTTGCTGCTGAAGGATTTGAGCTACATTAGGGGACTCTAAAAAGTTGCATATATTTTATAGCTAAAATAAAAGTATAAATTTAAGATCTGGTTGTTACAGTCATGGTAATTATGTGGTTGGACAACCAAGAATCCAGAGTTACTGGCTCATCACAAAATGTGTTGTTCAACTAATAGTAAGGGTAGAGCCCAATAAGTAAATACGAAAAAAAAAAATGCTATTTTAAGTACAGTGGTAGCTCAACAAGGGCTAAGAAGCAGTTAGTGAATGGTGGTTAGTGAGCTGCAAGTCACACTATTGCTAGGAAGCTAATCAGTGTGGCAGAGAATACCCTCAAGATATCCCAACCTCCCAGACATTTCCAGATAACCGTAGTAATTAAGAAAAAGACAGATTAAGGAACCTAAGACAAAAAATATATATATTAGAAAATGATGATGGTCACCTGAAATGGAAAAACTTTCTTTGGTGATGTTATCCTTTTAAAATTGGGTAGTTTAGAAAGCCACACCCTGCTTACCTAGACAGACTTCCAGCACCGCTAACCCTCTGTGGAAATGGGCCCAAGCAAAGTATAAGGCAGAGGAATCAGAAAGTTACTCCCTTAAAGCTTCCCCTCCAAGCCATTTACCCATTTATCTCACATTTCTTAGTAAGCTTATTCATTTGGGCATCTAGCCCTTAGCCTCCTAGAAACAAACTGTTCTAACCTTGGACCAAACATATCACTGATAATTCTTTATGGATTCCATCTGAGGGGCTCCTCTGAACTCTGAGAAGCCATCAGCCCTTTGGAGGGAGGGTCATCTCCTATGATGACAGCTGTCTCATTGCCCAATGACCCACCTCTATCCCCATACAGTTTTTCCAATTCCCGGTTGTCTGCTTCTCATGAATGGGTCAGGGTTAGCCACTGTACACCTGACCTTCACAAATGACATTAGTGTGAACATTTGTGCCACAGCTGAGACTAAATTCAAAAGGGGTTGTCATGAAGAATATGAGTCCTTTGGCAGGTGTGTCATGTCATTGATCAAAGGAGTCTGCTTGGTTGTTTTGCACAGAAAGATCAAGTTCTTGTTTGTGTCTGAGAAAATGAAAATAACTACTTATGTAAAAACACTTGCTTATATTCTGAACACGTGGAAACAAGGTGTTGACTAATGACTAATATTATGAAATGCTGGATTTAATATTTGATCCATTTAAAATATGCTATGCAGATATTATGAAGAAATTTTAAAGGAATAAAAGCTCTAGAAGTATAGGGAAATCTTTCTTGTGAAAAGTGCTTTTAGCACTGAGTACATAATGTCCTAGGAGCATAGAACAAAGCTTTTCATCAGAGCTTTAGGAATGAAAGCTTTCATTCAAATGGCAAAATATGGACTCATTGTAAAGTCATTTGCCTGTTAGCATCAATAAGCAGAGCTGAGTACTTTGAAGGAGAGTTTAAAAGAAGCATATCCTAAGCATAAAGGACAATAAGTGCCTATGGAGTTAGGAATGCTCTCACCCTTCCCAGTCTCCTCCAGTGCTCTGACGGTGTGGTTCTTGAGTCTTTGCTGTCACTAAGACAGCAATCTATCAATCCCGGTGGGTGCCTCTCTGGAGAGCCAGAGTAAGGAAGGGGACAAATGCCATGATTGACCTTTATTCCTTTACTCAGTGGAAGGAGCAGTCAGGACTTCCTGATGCATTACTCACCAGGAAATCCCAACTGCCCAGCGGCAAGGGGTTAAAAACTGTTCTGAAAAGCTTTTTATGTTCTGAAAAGCTAAATTACACATCCATGCAAAACAAAAACACAGAGCACCTGGGTAAATAGAGTGTGGCTGAATAAAGGCTGGGCTATTTGCAAAAGAGAATCTGGAAAACATTTACTTTTGGATGGTTAATGTTACACTTTTATGCCTTTTTTATTTTTTTTTTAAGAAAAAACTTTAGAGGAAATGTGCAGAAAATATCAGAAGTTTAACATGGCTGTTGAAAATAAGATTTCGGTTCGTTTACTTTCCAACTCTTAAGGGGCTGTGAATATTGAGAGGGGCACAGAACTACTGTGCAAGGAGGCAGCAACACTTTTAGTACAAAAGTTGTTAAACAAAGAACACTTCCCAGAGACATAATTGTGCAATGGGATGTACTGAAGAGGTCATTAAACACTGATTGTCCTCCGAATATGGGGCCAAATATCAATAGTAAATGATATCGGCTTCAAATTAAAATGCTATAAATTCAAGACCATTGGACTTCACACTAGGTGAAAATTTCTGATAGGTCTAATAGAATTTGAGCACTCAGGAGGTCATGTTAAAGAGGATTTATGCTGAGCATACTTCATCTGGATACCTATGTGACTAAGTGATTTCTTCTTGAAGGAAAAAAAATCATATCGTTATTGCAGGGGTTCACTAACTTTCAGTAGAAAACTATTCGAACTACAAGAAATTGCTAGTTCTATAGGTCAAAAACTTTCAAAATCAATGGTTTCATATAATTCAACCTAATACTTTTGTTTTTTCTAAGCCCGGTCAGGTTGGGGTTGACAAATTTATGGAGAGAATAGGAGTGGGGAAACAAATTATAAAGATCTTATGTGGTACAGCAAACACCTAAGCAGAATGAGTGGGATTCTCATTGGGAGGGTTGTGTGCATGAAACTAGTGTTATGAATCTACCAGATAAGGTTTGAGAATTAACTTTTTCATCTGTGACGTAGGCAGAAGTTTGGTGGGGTAATGGGAATAGTGTAGATTTTTCCTTATGTGAGAGGCTACAATATGCAAACAACTCCAGCATTAACATATCCTAAGTTGCAAACACAAAAGTAGAATTAAGAACTGAGTTCTCAGGGTACCTCTACTATTAGTTACTGATAGAGATAAGTGAGACCAGAATTAGAAAAGTAACAGTATATCTATCTTGTTCATGTATTCAAATTATTAACAAATGAAACAAAAAAACATAAATTTTTTGTACAATTGTTTATTGTCTCTACAACATAGCACCATAATTCTGTTAAGAGCACAAGATTTCCCACTGAATCTTGAACAAAAAATGAAAACATAACCTAAGTAATTTTGGTTAAAGCATTACACCTATACTGAAAAACCCTGTAACAAAACATCCATAACTCTACGTAAAATGAATGCATTACAAATTAATATAATTATGAGGGTAAATTGTGAGAATAGAACATGCAACCCTGAAAATTATTGTTTAAAGCCTAGAAATTCTATACATTAATCACTGAGTTCTAGGCTCGATAGTGCTAAAAGTCCCTGGGTACTGTAATCCTTGTTCAGAGGACTCTCAAAATACAACAAAGCACAAATGATTACAAAGAAGAGGGAACATAGGCACTCCAAATTCTAATATTGTCCCCATTCAGTTTTTCATTAATCTAGGTGTCAAATTCTTATATTTCACTTAGTAAAGATTTTTTTAAAAGGTATTTTTATTATAATTTTAAAGTGTACAAAGTTCAACATGTAACAAAGATGCCAATAGCTAAATATAGATAAAACAATATAAAATCCATATATAAAGACATTATGATAAAAGCTAATATAAGACATGACTACATATTCCATCCTATAATCTCATAAATCAAAGCTTTTAACTGTCTGGATTCGTAGGTGACTGTATTCTTTCCAGTATGCATTCTTTCTTCTTCCAAGGGTTGTTCAATAACGGCAGGTACATTCCTGCCATAAAGTTCACAGTGTTCTAGAAACTGGACACATTCTTCAACAACAGTATCACGAAGCATGATTGTGTGTTTTGACATGTTTTCTAATAAGGACAGGAAACATCTTTTGGCATAATACCAGGTATCAGTTCCCAGTTTTTTATGATAAGGTTCCAAGCTTTTGATAACTCGAGAAATCCCAAAGTCATAATTTCCTTTGGCACAGTAAAGCGTCCCAATCACCAAATTCACAATGCAGAGATGGTAGATTTTCTTATCTGGATCATCATAGGAGAGCTGTTCTTCCTCCTTCTCAATCTTCCTCATCAATTCCTCAGCTTCTTCATTCTGACTTGTCATAATGTATGAAACACATAGGTTAGCCAATACAATAGCACTGACATTCAGGATGTTGTCATAATGCTTCTTGACTATGGGCTCATAAAAACCAATGGCTTCTTTGTATTTGTTTTCCTGCATGAACAGGACATGAGCCACATTCAGTTTCCACACATCATGGTCATTGCAGAATTCCACAGATTTGCGGAAGATCTTTTCCACCATTGGATAATTTTCAAGGTTCCAGTAGATTTTTGCCTGGGCCATCAACACGGGAATATACTTCTCCAAGATGTCATCATAGTCATTCACTGCCCTTTTTACAGCTTCATCATCTCTATTGTGTCTTGCTTCCTGCACTTCTATGGTGAGTTTCCGGAGCTGCTCAGTCAGCATCCCTGCTAGCCCATCAAGTTTAATGAACGCCTCTTCAGGAGCTGTCTGGCAAGTGATCATGGCATCCAAGAAGTCATAGAGATAGGGTGTGAGGAATTTATAAGTCAGATGAGCATTCTCTGCCAGGACATCTGCTGCCAGGCCAAAGTACTCATATTTACAGTAGAGCAGCAACAGGTTGCCAAAGGTCTCTGGGGGAAAGGGGTTCTGTTGGAGCAAAAACTGTAGCTTTTCAAACCCTTCTGTAGGTCTGGCATCCATGTTTATCAGTGCCTGGTTGTGCAGGGTCACGGGGTCTAACTCTTCCTCTGCCCTGGGTGGCATGTCAGTGAGGGTTTCCTGGGCCACCTCGTAGTTTCTCAGTTGGTATTCTATGGCCGCCTTCAGGTTGAAGGCTTCCACCAGAGCAGTCTGGTGAAGCACTAACGTGTTGCCAACACTGCGAACATCAATGCCCTCAGTGGTCATGCCCACACCTAGCTCCGGGTGCTGGCGGATGCCACGCTCAACAATGTCGGCGATATGCTTCAGCGCCGGGGCATATCTCCGACTGCTGTAATAGGCCAAGGCCAGGTTGTAGGAAAGGTCAGGCTGGTAGCCCGAGGCCTGAAGGGCTGCAAAGAACTTGGAACATGCAGCTTCATACTGACCCTCCTTGTAGAGTAAACAACCCAGGTTGACCTGGCCATCGGGCTCGTTCTCGCCCCCACAGTCTTCTCCCCCTTCCCCACTCAGTAGCTGCTCCACCAGGCTCCTGGCCCCAGGCAGATCGCCCTCGCTGTACTTGATAGCGGCTTGTAGACGGAGGACCCGGCTGTGGTAGGCGGGGTTGTCCAAGAGCAGGAAGGCGACCCGGGTGGCCTCTGGATAAAGGCAGGCCTTGTATAGGGCCTGGGCCTGGTACAGGCGGTACTGCTCCAGTTCCGGGTGCAGCTGGCTTAGCTGCTCATAGCACTCGGCGGCCAGCGAGAACTCCTGTAGGCGGTAGTAGCAGTAGCCCAGCAGCGACAGGCCTGCGCGGCTCCTCGGGCTCCGCTGGAGCTCTCCGCCCAGCAGCTGCGCCGCCTCGGCGTAGCGGTTATCCCGGATGAGCCGGTACACGACCGCGGTGAACTCCCCGTCGGGGATCTGCGTACTGCCCAGCCCCGCCATAACCGCTACGGCGGTTGTGCGTTTTAGTTACCAAGGCAACAAGCTAACCGGAAACGGAAGACCATAAAGAAATTATTTTTTGCTCGTTCCCAACGTTACTCTGCAGTAGAAGAACCAGACTAGGATTGGGAAGAAGTCACTAATGTGAGGGTCTCCATATCTGGTCTCGCCCCTGACGAGTCCAAGAGTGTGAGTGGCGTTACGCTTATCTGTCGAGAGGAAACTCCTCCAAGTAGTTCAGAGAGGAAACTCCACTTCCCTGCATGCACCGGTTCAACCGCGCCGCCGCTGGGTATGTGTCCGCGTTGCATGCTGGGAGGTGTAGTCTCTGTGGGACCGACTCTCGGTGGTCGGGAAATGAGACTTTCGTGGACGTCTGTTCCCATTGTAGGTGAGGGTTGTTGGCTGCTTGTTGCGTCACCTCGGTTCCTGGCACGTGGAGAAAGGTTTACGTTCTGTGTTTTTTGAGCCTTATACACTGTGTGCAGCATACAAATGGTGTGATTCAGCGTACACATGGGGATGGTTCTCGTTGTTTCAGTGAAAGTAACGAGAATGGAAAAGTTGGAATGTACCATGGTTTCTCCCGGAATTAGTGTAGGTTCTGTTTCGGGCCTCCCTGAGGGCACACTTTCGAAGTACAGAATAGTGCACCGACCGTGAGCCTGGATTTTGTTGTTTTCGGAGATTAACAACTGGAAGGAGTGCTGTGGATATTTTCTAGTACTGGGAGAGGTTTGGTTTTAGTTCCAAGTGTTTGACGCCCTGACTTTTCCATAACAACGGATTTTACTGAGCACATATTTAGAGTTTAAACTTGGCCCTACAGCCCGCCTTGATCCTCCAGATTTCACTACCAATTAGAAACAGTAGAGAAATCTATGATCTCGTCTTTTCCAAAGGTTGGGACGAGGGCGGGGGGAGAACGACCAAAAGTGCTCCTTTTGCTATGCACTGTTTCTCTTATAACAAACTCTCTAGGTCTACTTAATTAGCCAGTCCGTGATGTGTGTGTGACAGAGAGGAAGAGAGATACCTAACCTGAACTTGTCAAGCTTTAATAATATTTTTGGATATCACTGAGAAAATAAAAATTGGATTTTCTATCAGTTAAAATTTTAAAAATTGCCTATACTTTAATTCCCCCCCCCCACCCCCACCCGAGTCTTACTTTGAAGTTCTTTGTGAAGATTTGCTGGACTGTACAAGAAACCATTCTGGATTTTTTGGGGGTTGTTCCTTTGTCATGTATTTGGAATAGATGATCTATATTCTGTGTTGCTACTCAGAGCTATTTTTGTATAATTTTTAAAAATTTAATAGTGCCTATCATAGGGCAGTGAAAACCTAGAGACTTAATTATCTTATAAAATTATATTGGATCATTAATAAGAAACATACCCATAGTTGAGACTGATCTGGAGACTGTAGAATTTTGGGGAGATGAATACAGTTTTTCACTCAAGCTTTAGAGAAATAGCCAAGATCTGAAAAGATAAAATTGGCTTGTCTCAGTGAGGTAGGGGTAAAAATGTAGTTTTCAAGAATGTAAAAGCTATAACTTATGAATATTTGTTATATGCACTGCCTCTGTTGGAGGCCCGGCATGTGGGGATTGTCTTTCATAGTCTTCCAAGCCTCTCATTAGCTTCGCAATAGCCCAAGATAAGCATAGTTCAAGTAAACGCATGTCTTTGCTATGTAATTAAAGACTTTAATTCAAATCCCTTATCTGCCACTTCAATAGTATTGCTGCCAATAAATCTTTTCTATATATAAATTTTGGAGCCAACACCAACCACATTACATAGCAATTAGACTATTCACATGTTATCCCATGTTAATAATCATCTTGTATTTTACATATTAGAGATAGAGAAAAGCAGCTGAGCCATGATATCCAAAAGGTAAGTTCATTAGGAAATATTGACTGGTGAATTAATTCAATCTGTGTAACACATAAGAGCCCAGTTTTGAGAGGATACTAGTGTTTTGCTTTTTTGGTTTTATTTTCCCATTAAACAAACCAACCAACTTGATTTGGGCAGTAGAATTTGAACTTCCTGGCCCAAGTTACAGCTGTGAGCAGATGTTAGGAAGTGACTAGTGGGAGGTGATATAGTTCCTAGTCACCTGTTATAGATAAAAAGAGACTTTAATAAATCATTTGAATGCTAAATATCAAGTGACTAACTTTGTGTATTTATATATTCTTCTCCCTTGCTGAGGAGTTTGCCAAAGCAGTGTTCTTCAGGATGGGACTGAAGGTAATTGCATCATGAAAGCATTTACCTTCCACTGGAATACCGAGAAAGGGAGAAACAGCACTTAGTTCAAAGGGATTGAGTGGAGCAGTAGACCACTCAAGATCCCCAGAGAAAGCAGCTGAGGAAGACTACTATCACCCTACTCTGAGGCTTCTTCCAACCCAGTCTTTGTCTGCAGCCCTTTCTGATCTTCATCACAAGGAGGTACATGGTTTCAGGGATGCTAGCTAGTGCTGCTCAATAATTAGGGAATAGATGTCTTTTTTTTTGCCTGCCTAATTGACATTTACCTCTTAGAAATATAATTATCCAAAAGGCTCAATATTTTAAAATCCTTGTTTTTAAAATCCATATGTGTTGGATAAGTTGCTATTAAATCAAGGTAAGATGACAGAACGTGGAATTGGGAAATTGCCTTTTATGTCTTTAATCTGTCTCTTTGTTTCTCAGAGTTGTATTTGCATCATGAAAGTATTTACCTTCAAATGGCTTCTTTAAAATGTATGAGAAATAGGACGATCTGCTCTCCCTCAAAGGCATGAGTTGAGGTTCCTCTCTTTGTGTCGGTATCTGTCTGTGAAGGTGGCTACTGAGGGGGCAGGAAGGAGGCCATTCTATGTCTCCTACTTATTTTATGTGCTGCTGCTCCCTAGGCCTGGCTTGAAAAAGCAGGACATTCAGCTTAGACAGATGGAGGGCAGGGTCATTTTCAAAATGAAATGAGTGCACAAATCACACTGTGAAATTGGCATGACCATCACTGCTGCTGTGATAGGCTGACTTTTATTTAGTCTCGGATAGGCATTTGGGGAATAGATTTTTTTTGGAGGCGGGGGGCTTGGGGAGATGGTGAAAGAAGGCCCTTTAATGATAGAAATTCTGGAAAGCAATAAATGGGGTAGAATATTACAAAATGTCATAACAGAATCTTGAAAAGCTGGAGCTTATATCAAAAAGTAAGTATCGTACCATTCCTAGAAATAAGGAATCATTTAGTGGTTGCCATAAAATGATATAGTGCCTTATTGAGAGGAATTAGGCTTTGGGAAAATGGTGTTAGACTCAGGTGGATTTGCTGTGTAAGAGGAGGCATGTTTACCATGTAGAAGAATTCCATTCAAGCAAAATGTATAAAGCTAAAAATATGATGTTTGGTTCTTAACATGCTTATGTTTCTGCCTGCCCAAAATGTGAGATGGTCAAACTCATGTGTAATTCTAGTTGGCATTCTCTTTTAAAACTAATTGGAAATTACTGTTTCTTATTCTTGTAAAAATAACCACTTATTTTTGGTAAACATTGTCTAAATATTTCAACCACAGCTGTGGTAAAACATCTTCCTTGATAAAGGAAGACCTTCTGCAAAATTACTTTCCAAGCTGTTATTTCTGTCTCTTGTTCATTCCAGGCCATTTTCTGCAGGACGGCCCAATTGAGAGGCTGTTTTTTTGCTGCTTCTGAGTTCAACTTGATTTTTTTTGGTCCCTGTGTGGCCATTGATGATGATAGAACTGACCCTCTTTCCACTACCTCTCACTGTCCCCTCTCCAAACCTCCCCCTTCCCCTGGAAAAAGGGGAGAAAAGAATAAATTAGTGCCAAATTTGTAATGTGGTTCATTGATAGGAGTATCTGTTCAGTCTTTTGACCTTTCGAAAAGACTGTATACTGAATCAACACAAGAATATTTATGCTTAGATGGCAAGAAATTTAACTTCATCGAGAGCTTGATCTTTTTTCTCTGGTAGTTCTAGCTCTATTAATATTTTATATAGTAATATATTTTCTTCTTGATATATCCTGCTTTTGATGAAATATTTTCTATTTCAAGGTTTATGGTGTTATTATCCAAACTAATTTATTAGGCAGAACACAATAACATTATGGTTTATGAAAAGGAATTAGCAGAGAAGACACAGTTGTGGGTGTTGCCATTTTTTATTTATTCCCCGCAGTGTGTGGTGTTGAGTACACTGATAGGGCTGTTGCCTAAATCTCCTCATTGGAATGTTTTTCACTGCTCTCATTTCCACGAGGTAAAAAATGATTTAAAGTATTACTTCTTTTTTTCTAGAGTGGTACCTTTCATAGTCAGATTATCCTGTGTATGCTTGTTTTTGTTTCTGTAATACCGTCATGAAAATAATAAATTGGATGGGAAAGGTCTTTGAAGTCTGTAGTCAGAAAATGATATTCCTGAAAGAAGGATGTCATTAGTCTCCGAACACATTTTCTGGCTTGCAAAGCCTCCAAACTGTTTTTTCATCAGAGAGTGACTCGTGAAGTCTTTGATGATAGGCCATTCAATTGTCTGAAAAGTACTGTACTGTTTTTTAAGGCTTTCTCATAAATGGAGAGTTATAGAATACACTCCCAGGCCCTGTGCTGATGAACTGAGGGACCAATTCAGAAACCAGGCCTGTCTTTCAAGCTTCCTGCTCCTACACTCTCCACATCCAGCGAATCAAGTTCTGACAATTCTGCCGCTGAAATATTTCAACTCCGTATGTTTCTCTCCAATATCTACTACTATACTCTGGTTTCTGCCATCACCATCTTTCTCCTGGATCTGCACCAGTATTTTTAAATGGCTTCCCCTCATCTCTTCCTGGGACAGTTCCAGAGACTTCAAGGTACTTTATTTCCTCCTTTGTTTTACTCCGGGGACTTCATTAAGCCTTTAAATGCACTTCACCATTTCTCCCAGGAGATCACAAGATCTTTGTACAAAATAGAACTTCCAGGGTATTCTCTTCCTAAGTCAGAGTTTCTGTCTCAGATATGTAGGATGTCATTCACCCTAATGACTCTTGCTACCCAAATGTATCGGAATGTCTTGAGACTGAACTTTCAAATGGTTTGGAGAGGAATGGTTACCATAAATGGTATTAGAATTTGAGGGTGATACTGAAACTTTATTTGATTTAGTCACTTTCTTCTAGTGAAGAATCTAATAATATTTTTATTATTTTTTAATTTTATTTTTTAAGTGAGGCAACCCTTGGTTGACTTCACAGATTGCAAGGACCTTGTCAGCTTACAATCCCTTATTTTTTTTATTTGCTTTTTATTTTTCACGCCTACAGCACCTGGTCTTCCTAGGTGGTATCCCATCCAAGTACTAA